AGATAAAGCCCTTCGGAAGATTGTCGGCTCTACTCGTGAGAACAATTTTTGTGTATTTCTTTAAGACACGGGCTGTCAGGTATCACTCCAATGAGTCTATTGGAATCTTTTCCAATCAATCCGAGGGCTCCAACTATAACAGGGATTGTTGATATTTTCATGTGCCACATTTCGATTCCAAAGTCCCTATTATTATTATTATTATTATTATTATTTCTGCTATGGACACACCTACCAAGTCTGCGGAAAGACCTAAGGCAGGTCGTGGTGTGTTGTTATAAATATTTCATGTTAATTTAATTTTTTTTTTTTTTTTTTTTTTTTTTATCTCCGATGAAGTTGCTAGCGTTACATAGACAAAGTTCTCCTTAGTGTGTGTGCTGTAAATAAGACAATTTTCTGTATGTCTCTTAAGCTGGGGTTTCCAGGGATTCTTTCAATGTGTTGTTTTGTTCCATTTTTATAATTCCAAGTGCACCTATTACCACTGGTATTATTCTTGTTTTCAATTTCCACATTTTTTCTATTTTCAATTTCCAGGTCTTTGTATTTTGATAGTTTTTCAAATTCCTTGGTTGCTATGTTACAATCCGCTGGACAAACCATATCAATTAGTAGGCAAGTTTTTCTTTCTGGTTTTTGACAATAATGTCCGGCCTATTTGCTTCAATTTTTCTGTCTGTGTGGATGGTATAATCCCATAGAATGGTGACATCTTCTATTTCTGTAACCGGCGCTGGCCGATGTTCATACCAGTGTTTGCTTATTTTCCAAAGTGTTTTGCACATTGTCCAGTGTAAAGTTTGCCCCACTCTATCGTGACGATTTTTATATTCATTTGGGGCATAGAACATCCTGAGATTAGATGGTCTATTGTTTCTTGGTATTTGTCACAGAACCTGCATTTTGGATCCACATTATTATGTATGATATTTGCCTGAAAATTCCCTAGTGAAAAGACTCTGGTCTTGCGCTGCAAGAATAAACCTTCAGTTTCAGACTTTAATCCAGATGCTCGTAACCATCGATGAGTATTAACTTTATCAACATTGGGTTTATTTGCACGTTCTGGATATTGGCCATGCAGAGGTTTGTCTTGCCAGCGTTGTTTCATCTGTTCAAGGGCTTTATCCTTGGCTTTCTTTTTCATATCTTTTGCTGCAATAGTTGGTTCTTGGCTTCTGTTTTGATTTACTACAGAATCTACTAAATGTAAATGTTGTTTGTATTTACTGCCTTCTTTTATTATTGAATATTTTTCTTTCTGTTTTCATGTTGTTTCACTAATTTTATCATCCAGTCATTTGTTGTTTCCATGTAAGTTAGTAAGCCAATAGTTGTTGTCTTGTATGACAATTCTAGCTGAATAAGACCTCTTCCACCTTCTTTACGGGGTATGTATAGACGGTCTACATCAGCCTTTGGATGATGCATCTTATACTTAGAAAGAAGCTTTCTTGTTTTAGAATCCATTTGTCTGATGTCATTTTTAGTCCAGTTCAAGATGTTGAAACTATATTGGACCACTGGGATGGCAAGGTTATTAATGGCCATAATTCTGTTCTGAGAATTCAATTCAGTTTTTAATACCAGTCATACCCTTCTATAGTACTCTTTACGCACTATTTCTTTCATTTTCTTATGGTGAATTCCTTCACTCTCATTTACACCTAGGTACTTATAAGCTTCTCCTTGTTCTAAATCTTTTATTATTAGCAGGGTCTAAACTAATAGAGGAAGTTTGTTGTAGCGATCCTCGTAAAACTGTAGCTTTAGCACATTTATCAAATTGAATTTCATTCAATGTCTTCACTGAAGCATTTTACAGTTTGCAGAAGACCTTCCAGCTCATTGTCATTCCTAGCATACAATTTTAAGTCATCCATGTAAAATAGATGGTTTATTTTCTTTTGAGCTATTTTGTAACCGCATTCTGTCTTGTTAAGTTGGCTGGTTAATGCTATAAGTGATATGCAAAATAATAAAGGAGACAAAAAGAGTCACCTTGAAATATTCCTCTATTGATGTTTATTTCCAGACTTATAGGTTCCATTTTTATGATTGAGGTAAAGTGTAGTTTTCCATATCGACATACATTGTTTGATGAAATTGATGATAACGGGTGATACCTTGTACATACTTAAAGACTTTAAGATCCAGGAATGTGGTACACTATCGAATGCTTTACGATAATCTATCCAGGCAATACTAAGATTTTTTTTTTCACGGAAGCAGTTTTCCAGGATCATCCTATTAATAAGTAATTGGTCTTTACATCCGTAGCAACCTCGTTTGCACCCTTTTTTGTTCAAGTGGTAGTATGTCATTTCTTTCCAAGAAGAAATATGTCTGTTTTGTTAAAATAGATGTTAACAGTTTGTATGTTGTTGGAAGACATGTAATTGGTCTATAGTTTTTCGGAATATTTGTGTCACTATTTTTGGGTAGAAGAAAGGTAACTCCTTTGGTCATCCATGCAGGAATTTTAGTTGGATCGGTAACCATTTCTTGAAGTTCTTTGGCGAGTTTTTTGTGTGCTGTATTTAAATAATATAGCCAGAAGTTATTATTATTATTATTATTATTATTATTATTACTATTATTATTATCATTATTATAATTAACATTATTATTATTATTATTATTATTATTCGATTTCTGCTATGGACACACTACCTACCAAGTCTGCGGAAAGACCTAAGGCAGGTCGTGGTGTGTTATTATGGCATTTCATGTTAATTTTTTTTTTTTTTTATCTCCGATGAAGTTGCTAGCGTTACATAGACAAAGTTCTCCTTAGTGTGTGTGCTGTACTTAATAAGACAATTTTCTGTATGTCTCTTAAGCTGGGGTTTCCAGGATTCTTTCAATGTGTTGTTTTGTTCCATTTTTATAATTCCAAGTGCACCTATTACCACTGGTATTATTCTTGTTTTCAATTTCACATTTTTTTCTATTTCAATTTCAAAAATTCCTTGGTTGCTATGTTACAATCCGCTGGACAAGCCATATCAATTAGTAGGCAAGTTTTTTCTTTCTGGTTTTTGACAATAATGTCCGGCCTATTTGCTTCAATTTTTCTGTCTGTGTGGATGGTATAATCCCATAGAATGGTGACATCTTCTATTTCTGTAACCGGCGCTGGCCGATGTTCATACCAGTGTTTGCTTACACATTTTCCAAAGTGTTTGCACATTGTCCAGTGTAAGTATTGCCCCACTCTATCGTGACGATTTTTATATTCATTTTGGGCAAGTATAGAACATCCTGATTAGATGGTCTATTGTTTCTTGGTATTTGTCACAGAACCTGCATTTGGATCCACATTATTATGTATGATATTTGCCTGAAAATTCCTAGTGAAAAAGACTCTGGTCTTGCGCTGAATAAAGCCTTCAGTTTCAGACTTTAATCAGATGCTCGTAACTTATTATCATTAATAGTAATAATAATAATTATTATCATTATTATTATTACTATTATTATTATCATTATTATCATTATTATTATTATTATTATTATTATTAAAATGATTGCCGTAAATCTTTCAATATTTTTCAACAGTTAAGAGAAGAGCGTGATTTAAGAAAAGAAAAAGAATAAACTCTTCATTGAAGAAAACAGACTTTCTGTTGAAATATTGTTTAACATTGTTCTTTTTTTTTCTTAAATCGCGTTCGTCTCTTAACTATTATTATTATTATTATTGCTATTGTTATTATTATTGTTATTGTTATTATTATTATTATTATTAAACAAAATGATTGCCGTAATTCTTCCAATATTTTCAACACTTAAGAGCGCGATTTAAGAAAAGAAAAAGAAATGAAAAAATTATGTGTTCAAAAATATTTCAACAGAATTCTTTATATTTATAAGTTAGATTTTAAAAAAAATGTTTTAAGTATAAAAATATTAAATCTGAAAAAAAAAAACTTGAAAGTCTTTGTAAAAACGTTGCTTGTCATGTAAGGTATAACAATAATAATAATAATAATAATAATAATAATAATAATAATTATTATTATTATTATTATATCATCATCATCATCATCATCATCATCATATTTTGATTTCCGCTATGGCCACATTATCTACGAAGTTTGTAGGAATACCTAAGGCAGGTACTGGTGTGTTGTTATGGCTGCATTTCATAATTCAGTCAGTTACGTACCATGCGTGATACACACTTAGGCATCATGTATCTTTCGATACATGACTGACGAGGCAGATTGTTTTTCCCCGCAGTAGGTAGCCATTTCTTTTTGCGGTAAACCAGTTGTCATCTAAATCTATAGAACCCGGTCTGTCCTGCTATTTACCCATAGCTGGGGTGGGGAGAAGAAGAGGATTTATAACTTTCCCAAGAGTATTAGCACGTAAGTGAATGTAATAGATTCGACTGGAATTCGAACTCGGCTCTCCGATTTTTCAATCCGAGCCGCTAATTTTTTTCTAATTCCCATAACATCACTAGCGATACGTGGACAAAGTTCATAGCCTGTGGACTGTTCTTATCAAAACAATTTTTTGTATTTATCTTAAGCTGGCAGATTATTATTATTATTATTATTATTATTATTAATATTAATATTATTTCTTCATCCTTTCTTTCTTTATACAGGGTGACCCAAAAAAACGGGAACTTTTTAACAATCCAATAAAACCAAGAGTGATGGAAAAAATATTTTATTCATAGCAATTGAAATCTTAAAACATGCCATTTAAGAAACAATGATGGAATTTTCATTTTTTAAAAATTACGTCCTGTAGATGGCGTCCTCCAATACGAATGCATTCTTGAAATCTGCTGTTGAGGTTCCTCGTTGACTGCTGCAACATCTCAGCTGGGATACTGTGAATTTCATCTTTAATTCTAAATGGCGAAATGTTTACTTGCTCAAGGTCACTGTCTCGCAGTGTCGCCACTTGCTCATGTCTGGCAATAAGCACTTCAATAATTCCCGTTTTTGGGGAGTCACCCTGTATTTATACTGGATTACGGCCACATCGCATTGAAACACGGGATCCCGTACGATCACCGAATTTAAGCAAAGTCGCGCCTGGGCAGTATCTAGATGGGTGACCGATTGCAAATACCAAGTGCTGTAAACTGGATAAGTGGGTGATGTAATGTATAAAGTCTCCGAAGTTTTAATCACAGGGACAAGTTTAAATTACTTTTGTATTCGTTCTATTCACTTACGTGCAAGTACCGTTAGGGAAGTTATGAATCTTCCTAATCTCCCCTCCTATGAGTTAAATAGTAAAATGATTTAAACCATTAATAAATCTTACAATCTAAAAATAATATCTGGCTTTAAATAACCTGCAAAAGGTTGATAAGTCGTAGAAAACGAATCAATCAATAAATTTATATTTGTACCGTTTTTGGCAAGCATATAACTGAAAGAGTTAGAAAGCTTGGTTTTGGGATGTTAGACGTTTCGCTTGTCAGTTTTACTATATGAAGCGAATGCTCGTTATCAATTCCCAAAATGTTCGTTATATTCGAGACTTCGTAGACGCCGGTAACGACTTACCATAATATCCACACTAGTAATACTTGGTCAAGTAGTAATCGCCAAATAGTATAATGATCAGAAGAGAATCTTAATCCGTATAGTAGTAGAGTAGAGAGAGTGACCGTATAGAAATAATGGATAAACAAGAAGAGTGAACAGTGATCCTATAGGGATAGAAGAGAAAGTGTGACATATTTATTTGTATTTATACAAATTTTGGCACAAGGCCCAAAGGTGAAGGTAGGAAAGGATTGTTTTCTTCTGTCTTAACGTTAAACTTAGCTAACCTTAAAAACTGACCCAAACATACAACAGTATTCCTTACACCAAAACAACGAATTCTTACTTACCATTCTTATTGCATCCCCCATAATACCACATTGTCTCTTTGAAAGTCTCAACTAGTCCCCATTTATAAAATATATTGTCAGTGATGGGGAGGGGAATAAAATAACAATTTAAAAATCTAAACCTCAATGAATATTTATAAAATGTACAAAAAATATTTACAAGAAATTAAACAAAATAATATTAGTAATAATAACGTCCACAATCCCTAAATGTGGGAGAAACATCAGTTAACTGGACGAAATTAATGCGGGACTTTAATAATATAAAAACATTCAATCAACCCCAAGAACTCACTCAAAACATACACACATAAAAACACAACAAATACGAAATTCACGCCCGAAACGAAAGGCGTCCCGTATCCACCAGATAACTGACGTAACTGACCACCTAATGAGGGAGGGGATGGGAAATTAAACTAAAGAAAAATGGAGACAGAAATAAAAGGGGATTATGAGCATACATTCCCTAGCTGGAATTAAGAATCTAAACAGGCAAAAAGAACACTAAACTAACTGAATTCGGGCGGGGTTAGCCTATGTTCAAAACAGATAGAACAATATCCTGATATCTAACCGCCATCAAAGTGCCACTCCAAATCAGCTCCACTCACAGGAGAAAGAGAGATCGGTTAGTCAATACACTACTTCCTATTTATTCACTTCCTTTATGATCACGTGATCTACTTAATAATGGAATCGCCCCTGTTGTTCACTTGTGATCTAGTTTCAAACTCAGTGTCGTCAACGACACTTACTCTTATAAAACACTAGATCACGACGAACGTGTCAATTTGAAAATAACTTTTACCTACGATAATATATTTATTAATATGAATTAGATAATATTCAGAATGATTAATTAAATGAATTAATTAATAAAATAATTATAAATACTAGTTGTAAACACGAAAATGTTCTGCGTTTTCTGTTTGAATTTTCTAATGAAACATTATCCTTTTGTTAATGACTGAATAAGCTACTTACGAGTTCTACGAATTTAAAATGCTGGTAGGAATTCCAATAAGGCATCGCCAAATATTTGAGCTTAACAAATTTAACAAAATATTTTTGACAGTCATAAGTATGAATTGCCATTGTTTAAAAAAGTAATTGGTTTCAAATGAAAAGATTAAACACTGACAAGATTTTTAGATTTCACGAAATAAATCGTTAAACGCAGCCATATTTATTATCTTCTTCGTCATTTTTCTTACTGTATTTCATTATTTTTCTCGGGGAAACCAAACAACGTCTCGTATATATCTTTCCCTAGTGACCAAAAAGAACAGTTCATTAGACTTCATGAGTTCAAGCGCCCTACGAGGCTGGCATCCCGCTCTCACCCCTTCACTGTCGAAACTCCTAAATGTAGCCGTCTCTTCTACTCTAATAGCTTCATGTCTCGCACCTCTCGCCTGTGGAACTCTCTTCCCTTCTCCTGTTTCCCTGAGAGTTATAATCTCCAGCTATTCAAGCGTAATGTCAATCGACATCTCCAGTTGCCTTAATCTATCTACTACCCTCATCCTTTCTTCTATCACTCCTATCGGATCTTCCTATTTTCTGTAACCCCTAAAAAAAATTTAGGACGTATTAGCAAGTTATAAAAGATCGCATATTATAAAGCCTGTGTCGCCTTGAATATAATGCATGTAAATCTGGAAATCGAAGGTTTTTCTTGAATCACTGCAGAGGTGATTATAATATATGGCGTCACTGCTTGGACATTAAGTAAAACCATATATTTAAGCTCGACAGTACCTACACTCGGATGCTGAGAGCTATACTCAATATCTGGGGAAACATCCAAATAAATCATAGCTCTATGGACCCATCCCTGATATTTCTACAATCTTAGGCGAACGCAGAATGGACTTTGCAGGAGACTTCTAGCGAGAAAATCAAAAACTTGCAAATGATCTACTCTTGTATACACTTAGACATGGAGAAAAATGGTTTGATCGCAAACAAGAACCCGCAAGTGATGTAGTGCTCTGGACACTAGCACTGATGCAACACGGTTAGGGCGCAAACAAGAATTCGCGAGTGATCTACTGTACTGTACACCTAAAAGGCCGTTGAAATTTCTAGGGCACGTCATGAGGAAGGAAGGTTTGGAAAATCTGATACTCACAGGACAGATTGAAAAAAATCAGGAACAGAGGAAAGTACCGCGTAACATACTTGACGGGCTCGAATAAATGGATGACAGAACAGGGTTTGATAGAAATAACAAAAAGACAAGACTCTTATAAAGAGCTACAAAAGTCAGGAAGATGCAGAGGGCCATAATCACCTACCTCCTGAAAGAACACGGTACATAAAAGAAAAAAAAACATAGGGAAAAATGAGATGGTTAACTAGCAAACACCTACATTGACCAGCTGACCAAGTAGATATTGAAGTCAACATGATTCTAACACAAAGTTCACGCTATGTGTGTTGTGTTTTTTGTTGGCTTGATTAACTATACATGCTGTAGATGGTGTATTATGGATAGTAAAACTTTTTTTTTTATCCTAACCGTTACTGGGTGGGCGGCAACGGCAATATTTGAAATTATTCTAGAGGTAACTGAGTGGAGGTAATTGTAGATCCGAATGCAGATATTTGCAACTATTTTACATATGTGTTTGTTGATTTTTTTATTAAATTGTTTTATTGATTTCTTTATTATTTCTTGTTGATTGTTGTTATTAGATTTACTTGTATACATTCGTAGTCATTTGTTTATTATTTATTTAAGTTTATATGTACGGCAATACAGCGGCTTTTAATCAATTAACGGCCATTTTTTTTAATGCGCTTTTTTTTTTTAGACCAGACAGGTTTCTTAGGAGTTTATTTATTCCTTATGTTTAATTTCAGTAGTTACCATTTTAATTTGTATACAAATTAGAACATCAAATATATATGTGTATAAAACATCAAAAGATAGTATTGATTAGAAATAATAAAAAATTCCATTTCTTTTTTCCTTTCTTTCCTTCTTTTTCCTTTCAAATTTCATGTGAAGAAAGTTGGGAATGTATTCATTTTAGTGAAAGTATTTACATTGATAAATTCAGGGACAAACTACATTCCCATGGACGAAATGATCATCTGTATGAGGTAAATTATTTGGATAGCATTAACTATAATTCATTATATATGTATATATATATTATGAAATGGATATATATATATATATATATATATATATATATATATATATATATATATATACATTTAATAATGTGTGACGTCATTTGTTTACATTTGATACGCCATGAGCAGGTATGAATGTATGTGAGAGAATCATGGAAGATTGAAGTTTAAAACAGTAAATTCGACATTGGCAACCGAACGCTCCTCTGTAGCCAAATCGGTCAAGGCACGTCAAGCTAAATGATGGTTCCGAATAGGATACAGGTTCCAATCCTGTCGGAGGACGAATATTTTCTGTGAAAATTTCTGGGACATTCAGGCCGGTAAATGTTGTGTAATACTGTTTATTATAAAACAGAGCATTTACTTAAATACTTGCATCTGTAAAAAGAATGTATAAACATAAAAATGCCTTTATATATATATATATATATATATATATATATATATATTTGGTTGGACAGATGTGAGTTGTGACTCTGGGTTTCACGCTTTAGCGATCGTCAGACAAACAAAATATATTAGCTCTATCTCTGATATTGAGCGCTTTCTAATAAGTACCGTGCATATAATATATAAATAATTATACATATATATATTTATTTATATTTATATACACTTTTCATATATATATATATATATATATATATATATATATACACACACACACATACATGCTGATTATATATATAAATATATCTATATATCTCCATATATATATATATATATAATATGGCGATATGTATAAATATTTATATATATATATATATATATAAAAGCTTAATAACATTATCATTGAAAGACGAAAAATCACCATATTATATATATATATATATATATATATATATACATATATATATATATATACATGCTGATTATATATATATATATATATATATATATATATATATATATAATATAGTGAAATGTATACAATATTTATATTCTATATATATATATATATATATATATATATATAATATGGTGATTTTTTCGTCTTTCAATGATAATGTTATTAACTTTATCAGACGATATGAAAGGAATTTTCATAAAAATAAATAGACAAAACTTGTTTATATTATTTAAT